AACTCCTGGGCTCAAGTGAGTCTCCTGCCTCCGCCTCCCAAGTAGCTGGGACCACAGGCGCCCGCCACAACGCCCGGCTATTTTTTGGTTGCAGCTGTCGTCATTGTTTGGCGAGTCCGGGCTGGATTTGAACCCACCACCTTAGGTGTATGTGGCTGGCGCCTTAGTCACTTGAGCCACAGGCGCCGAGCCGACTGGCTGATTATTTTTAGCATAAAGTCCTCGAGGTTCATCCATTTTGTAGCATGTGCCAGAATTTCCTTTTTTTTTTTTTTTTAAGGCTGAGTAATGTTGCATTACATATACTATTCTCGTTACCCATTCATCTGTAGATCACATGTTCATTCCTTCATCTTCTTGGCTATTGCGTATGATGCTGTGATGAGCCTGGGTATGCAGATACCCATCAGGAGAAACCTTTACATCTTTCACATATACACTGGTAGAAGTGGGAGTTATATTTTGAATGTTTTGAGACACCACCTTCTGTCTTCCATGATGGATACACCATTTTACATTTGCAGCAACAGTGCATGAGAGTTCCCACTTCTCCCCATGGACTTAGGATCTTCTGTTCTAACATTAATAGCCCAAGTATACCATCAAGTCTTTCTGTGGTGTTAATTTGCGTTTCTCTTACGATCAGTGTTGATGAGCATCTTTTTATGTGCCTCTTGTCCATTTGCTTATCTTCTTTGCAGTAAGAACTATGGAAGTCCTTTGCCCATTCTATAATTGGCTTATTTGTTGTTTTTGTTTGTTTGTTTGTTTGTTTGTTGAGACTGAGTCTCACTGTCGCCCCCGGTAGAGTGTGGTACTGTCACAGCTCACAGCAACCTGAAACTTATGGGCTTAAGTGATTCTCTTGCCTCAGCCTCTCAAGACCCTGGGACTACAGGCACCTACCACAATGCCTGGTTATTTTTTCTTGCAGTTGATATTGTTGTTTTAGCTGGCCTGGGCTGGGTTTAAACCCACCAACTTCAGTGTATGTCTTTGGTGCTACAGGGGAGAGTCTCTGTTTATCTCTTTTTTTCTTGTAACGTTGTAGACGTTCCTCATGTAATCTGGATATGAACCCTGTCACAGACATGATTTGCAAATCTTTCTTCCCATTCCATAGTTTACCTTTCTCTCTTTTGGTTGATAACTTTGACGCATAGCATTTTTTTCCCCCAATCTTATAGACAATAGAAAAAGAAGAAATACTTCAAATTCATTCTACTTCATCTGGATATACCTGATATTAAATATGGAAAAAATAGGGTGGTGCCTCTGGCTCAAAGGAATAGGGCACTGGCCCCATATACCGGAGGTGGTGGGTTCAAACCCAGCCCCAGCTAAAAACTGCCAAAGAAAAAGGAAAAAATATATTATTATAAAGGGAAATTACAAACATATTTCACTTATAAATGAGGATGCAATACCCTAAACAACATATTAACAGGTTGAATTAAAAATTATTGTTCAAATAATGTACTTTGGTCAAAATTAAACCCAACTTATGTGAGAATTAGTCACTATTTTCTTTTCTTTCTTTTTTTTTCTTTTCCTTTTCCCCATCCCGTCCCTCCTTCTCTATCTATCTGCTCTCCCCTTCCCCCACCCCCACCATTTTATTAATTGTCCTCATATCAAAGTTGAATACGTAGGATTCACGCTTCTCCATTCCTGTGATGCTTCACTAAGAATAATGTGCTCAACCTCCATCCACGTTAATACAAATGCTGCAAAATCTCCATTTTTAAAAAAATGGCTGAATAGTATTCCATAGTGTACATATACTACAGCTTGCCAACCTGGGTTGAAGGGCATTTAGGCTGTTTCCACATTTTGGCAATTGTAAATTGAGCTGCGATAAACAGTCTAGTACAAGTGTCTTTATAATAAAAGGGTTTTTTTTCCTTCTGGATAGTTGCCCAGTAATGGGATTGCAGGATCAAATGGGAGGTCTAGGGTGAGTTTTTTGAGGTTTCTCCATACTTCCTTCCAAAAAGGTTGTATTAGTTTACAGTCCCACCAGCAGTGTGAAAGTGTTCCTTTCTCTCCACATCCACGGCAGCATCTGTAGTTTTGTGATTTTGTAATATGGGCCATTCTCACTGGGGTTAGACGATATCTCAGGATGGTTTTAATTTGCATTTCTCTAATAATTAGGGATGATGAGCATTTTTTCATATGTTTGCTAGCTATTCGTCTGTCTTTTTTAGAGAAGGTTCTGTTCATCTCTCTTCCCCATTGATGTATGGGATTGTTGGCTTTCTTCATGTGGATTAATTTCTCTGTAGATCCTAGTTCTTAAGCTTTTGTCTGATTCAAAATATGCAAATCTTCCTTCCTATTAGATAAGATTGTCTATTTGCTTTGGTTGTTGTCTCCTTAGCTGTACAGAAGCTTTTTTCAGTTTAATTAAATCCCATTTG